CACAATAGTCCTTACGATAATCATATAGTGTCCTCTGTGATTGTTCTATGGCTTCTCGTACATGGGGCCCCCTGATATTAATATTAAGGGCCCCTTATGCGTTGGTCCCATCAGACACAGGACCCATGTGGTCAGTATGTGACTGACCTTTGAAGGGAGGGCCCCAGAAATCGGGGCAAAATAAAGGTACACGAAAGTCGGTATGTGACCCTAAATATGGCTCCTCTACAACAGGGGCCCCAGAGACTTCATAGGGTTAAATGTCTAGCATGGCTAACACGTGACTTCTGTTGTCAGGAGAACATGGCTTAGGTGTGCCCCCGCCATTATAGTTCCTGTGGCGTCAGGAGAACATGGCTTAGGTGTGGCACCTCCATTATGGTGCCTGAGGGGTCAGGAGAACATGGCTTAGGTGTGATCCCGCCATTATAGTTCCTGTGGGGTCAGGAGAACATGGCTTAGGTGTGATCCCGCCATTATAGTTCCTGTGGCGTCAGGAGAAAATGGCTTAGGTGTGATCCTGCCATTATAGTTCCTGTGGCGTCAGGAGAACATGGCTTAGGTGTGGCACCTCCATTATGGTGCCTGAGGCGTCAGGAGAACATGGCTTAGGTGTGGCACCTCCATTATGGTGCCTGAGGCGTCAGGAGAACATGGCTTAGGTGTGGCACCTCCATTATGGTGCCTGAGGGGTCAGGAGAACATGGCTTAGGTGTGATCCCGCCATTATAGTTCCTGTGGCGTCAGGAGAACATGGCTTAGGTGTGATCCCGCCATTATAGTTCCTGTGGAATCAGGAGAACATGTCAGATAAGCATGTGTAGCTTATAATGTCCTGGGGGGCCAGGTGGGGTGCAGATGTGACCAGTCTGCCTAGGAAAGGCTTGTTGGGTATATGTGACCTGTCAAGTATAATGCGAAGGATTAACCAGTTGACATCCGCGGTGTTAAACCCCCTTCCCATCGCGGCCATTTTTCAGTATTCAGCGCTGCGGTACTTTGACTGACATTTATTCCGTCATGCAGCGCTGTACTGAAATGAATTTTATACCCTTTTTTGGGGACAGATAGAGCTTTCTTTTGGTGGTATTTATTCACCACTGGGGGTTTTATTTTTTTACTATATTAAGGAAAAATTACCGAAATTTAAAAAAAAAAACAGTTTCCCCTATATTAAATGATAAAACATTTATTATTACCCAATTTTTTGGTAAAATATAAAAGATGGGGTCACGTCGGGTAAAAAGACACTAAACATGTCAAGCCTTAAAATTGCGTGCGCGCGCGAAACCTCAAAAAACGATAATACCCAAAATTGGCCATAGGCGACGCTTTAAAAGCTGTTACCGCTCATCAGTTTAGTGTTATCAGTGATTGATGGCCCTAAAATGATTGCTCTCACTGCGACGTTCGCGGCGATATGTAACATGTGTAGCGCAATTGTAATTTTTGCGCGCTGGGGCACCGGACGCGTATTTACGTTTATAGGCGCGTAAACGTGGGGGTGGGGGAGTTAAACATTTTGGGGGGGTTTTTTCCCCTTTTTTTATATGTGGCTTTTATTTTATTTTATTTTTTTATGTGTTACTTTTCTTTTTTTTTATTTATATATTTTTTTTTGCACTTATTGTTATTGCTATTATATAGGGGGATAAAAACCCCCTATATAATAGCAAAGGCACACTGACAGGTCCTCTTTATGGAGATATTAGGGGTCTCTAGGACCCCTAATATCACCTATGGACCC